TGCTGTCGATGATGATGATGACGATGAAGTTGAGGCCTTAATCACTGAGCGATCTCGAGCTGTGCGTAGTGTTTTTGTACTATTCTAGTGAGAGAGTACGATAAGCAGCTGCGACCACCAGATAAACTATTTTTCATTCTGTTCACATTCACAGCACTCTCGTTTGAAGGGTCGTCCTCTTGTTCTGACGAGTCCACACTAAAGGGAAGCACTGGACTGGAGTTTCGCTCTTATTAGAGCTCATCAGCAGTGCATATTCAATGGGCGTGTCCGGAGTTGAACCCCGGATATCTGATATGCGAGATGAGCGTGTTACCACTACTCCACCAACGCACTTTGGAAGCATCTGAATTTTTACGTCTGAACGGGCGGACGTGTTCATGCTTGAGCGATGTGGTTGGTGTGTCCGACCAATCGAACGACGACCCAGCAACTGTCCTGCTTGTGACGATCGGTTGACCCGCCAGTCATGACTTCCCAGTCAGATAGGGTCACAGGCACTTGAAACCCACTGGGCAACTTTTGGTTGCAGTTGGGATTTTTCGGGATATGTATTTTGCTTATATTCACATAATATTCGTATACACCGTTTCCGAACCAGGTTTTGTCGCTAACACACTAGTATCAAGATGTCGCATGCATACCATAGGAACGAAGATACACAAAATTATTCACTTCATTTACAAATGCATTAATGTGGATCAGTGCGTTAGGAACTTGAACTAAGCTAACACGCGGCATGACACTTACCAAATCGACATATCATCATCCGGACTGCACTGGGTGACTAAGAGTCGAATCAATTCGCTAGTGTTCATGCGGAGGTAGACGTGCGGGAAGGACACGACAGCCGTTACCAAGGTGACAATTAGAACCTCACGAACAGGGTAACGTCCAAGCCAAGTGGATTTACGTAAACGGCAGATGAACAGGTTCATTCTGTTGAAGATGGTCCCGAAAATTCCCTGTAGAAATAAAGCATACCTGATTGGTTAAGCATTCATAATGATCGAATCGTGGGGCACAGCATACCTGCACACCGGATCCACTGCGACAAGACTTTTACATGTGCCGACAAAATGTAATGGTCCTATAGGTTTGTTAAGCAACAAATAAACAAGATCCGCCAAGGCAAAGACAAGTTATGTCCTGGAACAAGCGGGAACATATAAGGTGGATGATGAATTTCAGTTAAGACATCCACAATCCGTAAACTTATGAGTAGAATAGGGCAATCTGTAAAAAGTTGGAACATCTAAAACTCTTAACGAGGATTATTATGACACAAAAACACAAAGCACGAGCGCAGTGGTGTAGCGATCACCATTCAGAAATACTTCGCTAAAGAGTTGAGTATGTATCAAAATGAGCCACGGTGGATCAATCATAGACTTCTGGATAACGTATAGAGACTATGGTAGTCTGAGTACACAATACAGCCGGCTTGAGCTCATATATAAAAAGGTAACAATGGCGAGAGAAACACCGACGGAAAACCAAAGGTAAATGGATGGTATCAAGGGATGTTATTCAGGGAGGAATCACCACTGGACGATAAATACCTTGTAGTAGACTTACGCCAAGCAATCCGAGGAAAGCGAACGGGAGAAGTTCCAGTATATGCCATTGGGCTTTGTAGTCCACGGAGAACATAATCATCGTATCGCTTCCATACGGATTGAGCATACGCAGCACATTGGCCGAGACCATGGCGCAGAAAAAGGAGCGAAACATAGTCTTCATTGGAAAATAGTAGCTAGCCTCCTCCAGAGAGAAGAGGACACCACCGATTGGGGCCCCGAAAGCCACCGCGACTCCAGCCGCTGCTGAAGCCGACAAAATCTTGAAAAATAGAGGTAAAGTATCAACTGTTTGATTTCAGTGCCAACTTTGTCCATCGTACCATTCCAAATAAACAGCACACATATTGGCATTGAGACAAGTATATTCAACCCCTGTAAAAAGGTCGGTCAAGGGAAATGTCGAAAGTGGTGATTTATCCGGTGGGAACGGATTACCCTAAGAAAGCGCAGTTAACTTTATACTGTCTGGCGTGGTATCCACGGTATTTCAGTAGCATATATCACCACAATGAATAAATATGGTGCCGCTTCTCAGCATTTGTGGCGTTATTCAACCTATTCACAGAATAATATTTGAAATGTATTACGGTGTGCCCTCCGTCTAAAGACTCGCTCTCCTGAACGGCGTGTGATTGTGCATAGCCACCAGAGCTGTAAACCATTCACCTTCCATAATACGACCACCTCGTTAATACCGCCGAATTCGATTGAATTCTTCAAGGTCGAGTATCGCACGTCAAACACTTTTTTGTAAAAAGTGGGTGACAAGTGAGGTCACTCCTGAGAAGTATGCATAGATGGTCATGGGGATGGAAATGTGGGATCTCAGTCATTTACCAAGCACGTGCTTTAGCAGAGTCAGTTACTTCCAAGTTCGCTAGTGTACGACACCCATCAAGGCTGAATCGCTTACAATCCGACTGCTCAGTAGTTCCGTTATCCAACCTTCCCATAACTTACCCTACTACACACTTCCAGACCCCCTGTTCATGTGACCCTAATGTACCGAATCCGGTGAAACAGTGGTAGCTTAAGGAGAGATCCCAGTCACTTATTGTTAACACAACGTGTGACAACGATGGAACAGATAGGTGTTTGTCATACGGGTCGTCACGAAAGGTCCCCATTTCACGTCCAAAGAGGCCTGAAGATAAGTCGCTGGCACGAGCCATGCTCGCATAACGTTGTCCTAGAAAAACTGGGGTGCAGTTGGAGATATTGGGCACATGAGGTAAGAAAATACAGTCCGATAAAAAAACTCGTCATGAGATCAACCGTTAATTGGGCCGGAACACCGATCAGTATAGTCAGTTGATATCATTAAAACATACTAGTGGTAATTGACATACCATGTTTTGCTACAACAACAGTGCCTACCAAGCGACTGAGAAGCTGGAAGTGACTTTCAAAACCGCTTTTCTCATCTACTTCAGTGGGAAACATTATCGAGCCGAAGATGGTCTTTAAAAAGGTAGATTCTCTTTTCATGGGGAGATGGCTTACACGAGAGGATGACTGCACAAAAGAAGCAACAGTTGGACGGGGAAGAAATGCTGTTGGTGAGTATTCAGATGGAACTTGTGAATGTACGCACTAAACCTATAAGAATTAATGAAATTTACTACGGTGACTAAGCTTCTTCTTCTTACACTGACTACCATATCGTCTTCTGTCCTGGTCACGTGATGTTGCTTCTTTGTACCCGGATGTATGATTGTTCAGTAATAGACAGAAGTGACTGGGAAGTCAGGGTTGGATTAAGCCATAAACAGTGAGTAAGCGGCCTGGTCTCCATATGACATCGATCTGAAAGCAACCATACATGGGGTTTGGCAGTGTGTCGGAATAGTGGTAGCTCGGGTGTGTTGACTAGGTGTCTGCTGATCTGTTCGCCGAATTCATTAACCAGGGTAGGCTTTTGGAGAGCTCTTTATACACTCACACACACACACCCAAAAGTGTGTGGATATGAGAAATTATGCTCAAGAACTTTTGGGATACCCATACTGAGCAACAGTGGTTAGAAGGACTGGTCGATATAAAGGTTGAACACATTTTTAAAGTCAAGGGATGGTGTGAGCATTGCTCTAATGCCTGATAAGGTGTGAAGGTAAAGCTGATACAATCCCTACCGCAGATGGACATCCCGCTTAAAGTTCACGGGTTACGACCTTTCTTGTCGCCACAAGACAATGAAGAAAGAGTGACCTTTTGTTACACATTTGGGAGTCAGACTGATATCTTTAGAGATGGAACTCCAGATGTACCGGATGGTCTCTATTACCTAGGTAGATGTAAATAAGACACCGATTATGAAATATGCCACCATCCATCAACCGAGCAGTAGGATCACCCTAGGAGTACGGTGATGCTTGCGTGAAGATATAAGCCTGCATATTTTTGAGGCTGAAGCAGATCCTATATCCACAGTCCACGTTTCCGTTACCGGCCGGAAACTCTGAAGGGAAGTAAGTGGCCAAATCAAAGCTACTTAAGGGTCAAAACGTTCTTTACCGGATGTGAGAAAGCACTTGTGATCTTCGATGGTTCGATTCGCCAAGAGGCTCGCGACGACCTGCTGGACGAGTCAAATAGAAGAACCCGCGGATGGTGTTAGGCTTCTGGACAACAGTCTTTCCGCACTGTGTACAAACTTAGTTTTTCCTGGTGTTGGGTGAAGAGTGGAGCCGGATAGCGGTTGTGACTAAAATGAACCTATCTCTGGGTCTCTAGAAAAGCCAGTCTTACTAGAAATCCTACACCTGGGAGAGGTTGGCTAGGCTACGCAACAGGTAGGAGTTCCAGATTCGCGTACAGCAATCATTCACACCCGATATCGCATCAGCAAACGGGTGTTGTGACAGTCGGTTCTTCTACATTCGCCCATCGGCTTCGCAATGGCTGGGCGTGCATTCTTTGCTTAGACCTCGAAAGAGCCACCACGCAGCGGACAAGTGCATACCTAGTATCCAAGGTGTGGTGGTAGGCAGCGACTAGTCCTGCAATCGCTATCTGCTAGTAATGAGGTCGCTGGTGGAGACCACGGGGTCTAACGATTTCGGCTGATCCGGAATTTGGTACTGCAAAGGAAGCCTGTAACTGGGGCATTTGAATTGGGCGCTTTTCGTTGTCTGTGAGTTTTATGTCCAATCCAAGATGACCATCCAGTTGGGTCTCAGCAGTGCCAAATTTGCAAACCACCACATTCATGTCACAACAGTGTTTGACGTTTGAGTGGGTTGTAAAAGGACGAAAGAAGGCTATGCATTTCTTCATTCGGAGATGCAGTCCACTGATGCATTGACATTTCTCTAGTCCCTTCACAAACGTTGTCAAAAGAACCGCACAGAGACAAACATCAGCGGCTATCCAGTGGAGTAGAGGTGCTTCCCCTCGAAGGCTCAGAAAAATGCATCTGGACAAGGCCATTCACAATGTCCCTTGTATCAACAGAGTAGCAGCCGAAAGCGAAGAGATAAAGACGAGGCAGTCACTTCAATCACAGTAGTTGCGTCATAAATCCGTTTTTGACGGGCTGCACATCCATGCGGAGGGAGCCCATCGTACGAATAAGAGCATCTTGTTGTCGTGTTTGGCTCGTACTGCGAACATCAACGGTAATCAAATAAATCGGCTTTTGTGTTTCTCGGTCATTTTGCAAACGGACAGGCAATTGTGTGGCCACAAAGGTGATGCAAGGCGAACACGGCTACTGGTCCTAATGCTGGGAACTGGAAAGGAGGTAATTACGGTGGGATAGGATTAGGAAGCAGGAATACGCGGAGGTGTAAGAGAGAAGGCGTCGGTGGCAGCGTATTTTTGCTTTTCCGTTCCACTGAATGCAGAAATGGAACGCGGTGATGAAGTAGTCAGGAAGTAATTTTGTTTATTGTTATGCACAAGCTGGAATACCATCAGAGCGTCCAAGCCTAAACAGGAGGGCGGTTAGCACCCCCAAGCAAAGCCTTTAACTCAAAAGCCTGACCGTAATGAAGAGAACAGGTGCCAGAATACTATCACAATGGTAGAAGTTACCAAGAGACAAGTCACTGACACTTCAACACTGGATCGATATAATCGGACAGCAAAAGAAGGCTCCATCCGGATTCAAGGATGTTTCAATCACGCCACACCGCAAAGGAATTAAGATCTCATCTGTCAATCACAGAGGCACAAGCCCACTAAGCTATGGGGGAAAGCTCCTGGCACCATTTTCACCTAACCGTCAGACTACAGGAGCTGTCGAAGTACACATATAAAAAATAGGGCTTCCGTTCTCATCATAGTAAAGTGGATCTTGCACTGCCTTGACGAAGGCTTCAAGAAAAATCCCGTGAACACCCTCAGATACTAGTTGCTCTCTCAATAGGCCTCAAGGAAGCTTTCTACTCCGTCAACCCAGCAGTACTGTGGAGATGGTTCTTGCCAAAAACGGCTGTCCGCCAAAAGTTAAGGAATTCAGCTGGATAAGAGCAACGGTTCGAACGAAGTAATGCGAGGGAGCCACATTGCCTTTGTTGGTTTCGACCTCTAACTGACAGCTCTCGTGGAGGTAGCTTCTGCGAACGATGCAGTGCAGTCCAACATCGGACTGACGGACAGATTTAAAATACCAGACGCACTGGCGAATTTTGGCTCAACCGACTGAATTCCGCAGGAACAGATGCCAGCCCAGCTATCGGATAGCTGGTGTGGAAACCTTGGCATGGAGTGATCTCTTGCACATAAGTACCATTTGTGGCAGTGAAATGTTAGTCACGTAGTTGGCAAACACCACCTGCAATTAGGCAAACACAAAAACTGACTCATGGAGAGATATGATTAGACTAAATTGAACAGTGAAAGGTATCACCCATAACTACATGCTATAATCATCCTCAATGGATCCTACTGCGAGGAAGGGGGCAACTGACCTCCCATTGGGGAGAGCAAAGGAGCGCCCTCGGTCACAAATGATGATGAGTGTTGCTGTGGTTAATTCTGGGGATATTCCCGTGTCAAAGCAAGGTGATCCTAGCAACCACAGTCCTTTGTTTAAAATGGACAGGTGAGGACGAGCAGACAACGAAGGCGACAGCTTCCAACATCCCCAGCATACAAAAATCCCGTCGAACCGAAATACGAGCCGGTTATCGGGAGCAGAAAGTTGCGTCAGAGGGGCATGTACTGTTTGACTGTTGCTGACGAGCGCTGTAATATGGATGACAGGGTCTCGAAACTGTCAGTTTGCATAACTGGTAAAAAATGTTCCCGCTGGTT